ACTGGGACCCTTCAGTCCTCTGGCCAACGCTCTATCCAGTGAGCCAAATTAGCTAGGGAAGGGAGAAGTATTTGTAATAATCACCATTCTCATCTCTTTTGGCCTCTTACTATCCATTATTGTTCCAAAGCAGAAGTATTAGATGTATTAGTTTTCTAGAGCCGCTGTAACAAGTATCACAAACTAGGTGACTTAAAACAACAGAGATTTATACTCTCACAGTTCTAGAGACTAGAACTTCAAAATCCAGGCATAGGCTGGGTTGGTGGTTCCTTCTGGAAGTTCAGAGGGAGAATCTGTCTATGCCCCTCTCTTAGCTTCTGATGATTGTTGGCAATCCATGGCGTTCCTTGGCTTGTAGACACATCACTCCAATCTCTGCCTCTATCTTCACATAGTGTTTTACCTTCTCTTCTATTTTTAAGATGAAAAGTATGGTGTTTTAACAGATGAATATGGAGTTTGGACCCAGGCTCTGCTTTTTTTGTGATCTTGGGCAAGTCCACCTAACATCCCTGAGCTTCAATTTCAAAGAAAACAGAAACAATAATGTCTTCCTCAGGACCATTGTGATTGAGTTATATTTCAGAAGGTGTAATATAAATGGTGGCCATTAGAATTAAGCTGAGTCAATACAGCAGCCAGTTTTTCTCTCTTGAGTTTGTATATTTTAGTATAATAAAGTGCAAGGCCTTGCCCTATACCATAGAAATTTAGGGATGAAAAAATATATGAATCATTATAAAATTAATTTTCATTCAGAGAATTCTCAATTTCTGAGTAAGATGTTAAGAGACTTAGGTCCTCAGTCTACCTTCCTATGCTTTCTGTCCTTTGTTTATTCTTTCTCTAAGAATAAAGTGGATAGATATGATTAGAGTTAGTGGAGCCAGAGAAACACATTGTTTTCCCAGGCATTAAGTACAATAAAGTTCATTCTATATTAATAGCTAAAAAATCATTTGCAATGCTATCAACAAGCAATAATAATAACTGGTTCATGCAGTGTAAAGAGTAAAGCATACTCTGGCCTGTGTGGCTGAGTTGGTTGGCCATTGTCCCATGCACCAAAAGGTTGTCAGTTCTATTCCTGGTCGTGGCACATGCCCCTGTTGTGGGCTTGATCCCCAGCAAGGAGCATGCAGGAGGCAGCCGATCAATGTTTCCCTAGCATCAATCACATCAATGTTTCTTTCTCTCTCTCTCCTTCTCCCTTCCCCTCTTTCTAAAAATCATCAATACAAATATTTTTTAAAAAGAGTAAAGCATGTACTATTGTATACAAAGGAGTTACTAAGAATTACATAACTTTTTAATTGGAAAAGAACTTAATGTGCAACCACTTACTAAGATAAAAATCTTTCCTTCAGCCTTCATGACCAAATATCCCAACATACCTATTGTAGAAACAAAACTGGTTTCATAGGCATGTGACTTGCACTTAGAAGAGCCCTATGCTTGGTGAATGCTCTGCTGTGCATCTTGAAATTTTTAATAATTTTTGAACAAGGACCCCACATTTTCATTTTGCATGGGCATTACAAATTATGTAGCCAGTCCTTGTGTAGAACAATTTTAAGTATTAAGGTGTTTTTAATAATAGGCTTTTATTATACTTAAAACCTAGTTTAATCCAATGACTTTCCGTCTGAGCTATTAATCAAAACTAATTTCTTTATAAAAAGTAAGTGAATTAAGTATATCTATTCACAAGCATAGGAAATAGACAATATGCAAATATCCAGGTATGTGGATGTACTTCGCAACCTAAATATCCATCAAAACAGTATTGGTTTGCCCGGCCAGTATGGCTCAATGGTTTATCAATGTTTCCTTTGCTCTCTCTCCCTCTCCCTTCCTCTCTCTGAAATCCGTATTGGTTCAATATACTATGGTTTATACAATATAGAATACTATTTAGACATTTGGGTCTTAATCCTGTTTGAACATTAGAATTACCTCAGAAGACACTTAAAAAATGGTGTAGGGCCCCTCCTTCTGAGATGCTGATCCATTGGTCTAGGTGTGTTTCGAGCAATGGTGTTTTATTGTTTTTAAGTTCCCCAAGTAACTCTCATATGCAAACAGGCCTGAGAAGCATTGATGTCAGCCTCAAAAATAACCATGTGGATATAAATCTATTAGCGTGGAAAATGGTCCACAATACCTAAGTTTTTAATGTGAAAAGGCATTTATGGATCATATGCTTCTGTTTGTATAAAATACTTTTAATATACAGTACAGGTTCTGGATGGGTAAAGAGCAAACTAGAGAAAGTGACTATGGAGGGCGGGCGGGCAGGTGAGACTCTTGAAGACTTAACTTTCCACACTTCTGTACTTTAATTTTTATATCAGAATGCAGATTTTTAAATAAGAGAATACAGTATTATGTATTTATTTACTTACTTATTTTGATTATTATTTTTTTTAGGGTCAATCTATTTTATTGAGGGCCTTCAGGGGAGGGTTGATGTGCTGGGAGGACAATGAGATCTGATGTCCTCGGCCCGGCCAGATCTCCCAAGTTTCACAGCCACAAAAAAAAAAAAAGAAAAGAAAAGAAAAAAGAAAAAAAGCTATTTTTTAAATCAGCAAAAGCTTCACATTTTTATTTTAATTTAAAAAATATGGTGAGTCTTTGGTTTATATCACCCAGCTGATTATAACATGAAGACTTACAATTTGTACTAGACTTCAAAATCTTGGTAAGCTTATACTATAGTATAGAGAATGTCACAAGCATTGTCTTCTTTGAATTAGTTGAAGTCATTCCCATTTTCCAGATTAAAAAAACTCAAAGAGTTAAACGGGTAGACTTTGCTCTTAAGAGAACTGAGACTCAAACCCACATCTGATTCCAAGTTGAATACTGGTTTTCCTATGCTACACCAACATCTTGAAAGCTTATTACACACAGCATTGCTGCAGACAGGGGTCACTATATAACAAGGAAACATTAACTGGGTATTATAACCTTCTAGGAACAAAGAAGGAATAATTGTTTAACAGCTTCAAGAGATGTCTCCTGAGCCTATTCATGTTCACTTACTAAAGGCAGAGAGGGCTTAAATGCTTTCCTTGATCTTTGGGTTTCCTGGAATGAAGAAACATCAAAGGCAAATATAGTTCCGCCTTTGCATATATTCATAATATTTAAGAAGTTTGGAAATACAACATTGTAATTGTGATATACTTCATACTCCTCATCCAATCATCAGCTGTATGTTTTTAACCTTCAACTAGTTCTAAATCTGACCTCTTCATCCCTCCTCCTCCACCACTTTGGTCCAGGCCACCATTTTCTCTATCAAATGGTTTCCTTTAATGGCTTCCTACCTGTCCTCCTGGGCACTGCTGTCTCTCTTTCCTCCCTACAGTCTAGTCTAGTGATGGCGAACCTATGACACGTGTGCCAGAGGTGACACGAGAACTCATCCTTTTGGTTGATTTTTCTTTGTTAAACGGCATTTAAATATATAAAATAGATATCAAAAATATAAGTCTTTGTTTTACTATGGTTGCAAATATAAAAAAATTTCTATATGTGACACGGCACCAGAGTTAAGTTAGGGTTTTTCAAAATGCTGACACGCCGAGCTCAAAAGGTTCCCCATCACTGGTTCTAGTCTCTACCCAGCAATCAAATGAAGCATTTAAAGGGTCAGTCAGAGCAAGGCATTTGTCTCCCCATATCACTCAGAATAAAATCCAGCCTTACAAGTCCTATCTGCTTGATGTGTTTGCTGGCTACCTCCCTGACCTCATCTCCTATTACTCTTCCCCTGGCTCACTCTGCTCCATCCACACCAGCCTCCTCTGCTATGCCTCAAACATATCAGATACACGCCCTTTTCAGGCCTTTTGCCATTTGCTATGCCTAGAACACTTTTCCAGGTATTTGCACTGATACGCTCTCTCTTAATTCAATCCAGATTTCTACTTGGCCCTTTTCATTGGGGCTTTCCTTAACTACCCCATATAAAATAGCACCTCCTTCACTCTATCCTCTCACCCATGCTTTATTTTTCCTTACAGCACCTGTTATATTTCTTAAATATACATTTTAAACATATGTATATATTTTATTTTCTGTCTTCCACCATTAAGAGGGAAACTAACCCCAAATAGGATATGGTTCTTTTTACTGCTGATTTGTCAGGGCATAGAACACGGCCTTAACATAGGCATTTAGCAATCAAGTGTGAATGAATCTATCTTCCATTTACACTTCTAAGCACTCTTTGCTTCTACCATCTAGAGGAGTAGGGGAAAAACTATTTTTCCTCCCACCCAGGATTTGAAGCAAAGATGGTTTTTATATATGTATACATTATCTTTACTGCAAAGGCTAAATAAATGTTTAGCATTAGTACAAGTGATTAACTGGGTTACTGTGTTTAAACCACAGGACAAGGTAACACTGAAGCAGATCCCAAAGTGAATCCCACCAGGGGTTCAGATTCCAGAGCCAGCAACGCCTCCCTGGACATCCCCACACCATTGCTCTGCTGGGAGGACATCAGCACCCTGAAACCAGAGACTACACCTGGGGAACTTAGCAGCTTTGGCACAGCTGTTTCTGGCTTCATTGGAGTAGTGGCCCTTGTCCAAGGCCCTGAAGAAATGGAGGCACAATTTTTTAAGAAACAACTGAGGCATCAGACCAACTTTCTCCGCAAATCTTAGCTTTCCTGCCATGCGGATGCCATATATTCCAAGACGATCAACCTGGCTCTCTGGAAAGAGGATGACTTCACTGTCTATGCCAACATGTCCCCTTTTTGATCGCCCCAGGAGGGCATCGCCAGACCACGTGGAATACACCTCCATTGTATTCCACTCATGGGAAGCTGATGAGATACTCCAGTGTGGAGTCAGACCTGCGTCCCAGCTGAATCTGGATACAGCTTTTGCTTTAGATGTGTGCATGGATGTGTGTGTGTGTGTGTGTGTGTGTGTGTGTTTTAAAAAATGCATAAAACATATTCTAATGATAAAAGAAAAAAACTACACAGAAGAAGCAGTTTGTGGTGACGTGGGAGTAAGGACAGGGGTCAGAGGAAGAAAGCAGTTTGAGATTTCGCTTGGTAGTCCTGAATTGAGACTGGTGTTGTAAATGTAATTAAACCTGTTCTACAGTCTTATGCACCACCTCACCCTCCCCATCTCTCACCCACAGCAGTAAAGTCACATTTTACGCTTTCCAGAGCTAGACTTGTTATTTCAAACAAAGACATTTTTTTTTTTTTTTGCAAATCAAACTTTAAGGGTGACTTTATTATTCTCCCCTCCCATTTTTATCATTGAGTAAATAAATGAAAGAGTAAGCTAAATTGTCAGTTTTCCCAACAATATGGAAATCTCCATAATCATGACACTCATACGTTTTGTCCAGGTGATCATTTTCATTCCATGTGGGAGAGGGAGGGGGAATTCCATGCTGGGATGATGCAAGTGGAAGGGCTTGCTTATTAGAAGAAAATATCTTTTCCTTTTCATCTCACAGACCAGTCTCATCACACCAATCTAGTTCAGAGGATGTGAATATAAACCTTGCCCACCTCCCGTAGCCCGTCTTTCTTACTCAGACAGCTTCCAAGCAGCTCTCTAACGGAGACACAGTCTTTAGTTTGTAGGACAAATTGTGCCACTGCCTTCCCTCCGGGCAGACGGCCCCTGGCCATCTCCCTTTTGACACTGTCCAGGACAACTCCCCTGATGTCTTTAGGCTTTCCTGGCACACCAAAGATGAGAAACAGGCCCAGACAATCCTCTCCTATCAAGCTACAGAATTCGTCCAGCTTTTCAAATCTACTCTTCAGGGAAGACTCTGCCCTGGATTCTGAGTTGGAGGACTCACAAGGCTTAGACTCTACAGGAGGAAGAGAAGACATCCGCAGGGTCTGTACCGCCAGCTGGAGCCTTATTTGCTTATCAGATCCCCAAAAGGTCCAAATCCAGTCGGCCCCAAACATGAAGGCTTGGTGCTTGGTCATCTTGGTGGTGGTGAGCCACTCATCTACGCCCTTTTCTTGGCAGAAAGTGACAAAGTGGATTAAGAAGATCTCATTCAGAGTGTCTGGAGCTGGGCTCAGATTGCTCAGAGGGTCTTCAAATCCAAGGTACTCCTCCAATTTCTGAGCGGCATGCACGATAGCTCCACTGAACACCTCACAGACGCTGACAACCTCTTGGCTGTCCTTGGGAGCCGACTGTTGCGAAGGTTTCTGCCCCATTTCCTCTGCACTCAATCAATGCCGCTTCCAAATATCAAGCATGTGGCCTTCGATCAGAACGACTTCTTTTTCGGAGTGAACGTCTTGCAGTGAAGCCGCATCTGTTAATGTGGTCCCAGTTTTCTAACTCCGCAGCTTACTTGGGTGTAGCTAAGCATATATGCACACAACTAAACAAATAGCTCTCCCTGTTTGCCAACTGGGTGTGTTTTATTCATGCAGATTGCTGCTGGTTTACTAAAGTGAGAGATACTTTCACAAGAAGCATCTGTTCTTCTCTGGGTATAGTCACCGTGGCTTTCCTATTTGGTCATCTTTTCTAAGATACGCTGCATCTTTTCAAATTTCAGTTCAGTTATAAACAGCGTTTAATTCCTTAAAGAACCATATACTTTCTACAACTAACTTCTTGTTAAGTGTTCTTTAAAAAATTTTTTTATTGGTTTCAGAGAGAAAAGGAGAGGGAGAGAGAGATAGAAACATCAATGATGAGAGAGAATCATTGATTCGCTGCCTCCTGCACGCCTCCTATTGGGGATTGAGCCTGCAACCTGGGCATGTGCCCTGACCGGGAATTTAACCACGATCTCTTGGTTCATAGGTTGATGCTCAGCCACTGAGCCATGCCGGCTGGGCTCCACAACTAACTTCTTCAGATCTGCAGGCGAGTCATTTCCCTTTTCTTTCCCAGGATCCTCTCTGCCATGACCCCTCATCCCCCAGCTCAGCGGCCCGTGCTTCCTTCCACACAAACGTCTCATACTCCTACCTGTTGGTACATGCTATGAATCCCACACAAAATATTTTATGGGAGTTTGTGAATTATCAAGAGTTCGTTATTGTTCTCTATATCAGAAATAAAGCCTACTGGTTATACTGAACAAAGGGAAATAAAGTAACAGACAATAAAAATATGAGGCAATTATCAGCTGACTTTATTTCTTTTCATATGGTGATACTAGCAGTGTACAATATTTTGTAAATAAAATATATCATCAAAAAAAATTTAACCTCATCACATAGAATCAGTTGTATTACAATGTCCTGAATAAAGAATATTTGGCCTCTGTAACAGTCTCCTGGTATTTTTAACCAGGTTGGAATATCAAATTTTTTTTTTCAAATGGTGACAAATATCCACATGAGAATAAAACACAAGTACATTAAGAGTCCCATACAGTTACCAAATAATGAATGGTAGGGAGCAAAAGATTATTGTTAACATCAAATCATTGTAGTCATGAATAAATAGTAATGTAGTATTATAGGTTCTTTGATGAAAAGCTTGGTAAGTTGCTGATGATTTGAAAGATCCTATCATTGACATTCAAATATAGTTTGTAAGTAAGCCCACCGGTGTATACTGAACTGCCCACCCCTATGCCAATTTGTGAAAAACAGTCTTTACCACAGTTGGCTATTATGGTAATGATGTAGTACTGAATAAAAAAATAGAATATTATTTCTGATACCCCTAAAAAGAATAATAAACACAGTGACAGTTTTTGCTGCAGCTCTGTATTTTCTTTATAAAGAACATTTGGGCCCTGTGCTATGGAAAAACATGAACTACATTTTATTATCACAAGATAGGCATTCTTTTCCAGCCTCAGAGTTATTAAACTCTGATTGAGACAAAATGTTCAGACAGATATTCGGCTTTTTTAAAAGGATTCCTTCCATTCATGGCTAGTCTGAGAAATGTACATTAATCAGGCTGCTGGTATTTTGAGACAATGGTCTATTCAGCAAAGAGGAAAATAAGAAGCTTAATACTGTAAAGGTTTTTGTTTTTGTTTCTTCAGAAATCATTTCTACAAAATTTGGGGCAGCTTCTGAATGCGTTCAAGTTAATAGAATGTACATGTCCCTCAAGTTCTTCCTTATGAGTTTAAAAGAATCCAAGATTAAAGGCCGAAATTCTTAAAAAACCAACAATTTTGTCATGTGTCATCGAAGGAGAGTTATTTCACATACACTAATTTAGTCCGAGTGATCAAAATCATTAAAATGCGGTTGTGGAGAAAGAAAGATTATCCTGACCTGTCCAAGAACCAGCTGGCACGTGAAAAATTTGATCGCCGTATTTTTTTCAATGTGATATTTTATTTTTTTTTACCATCTTCCTTAGGTATGTCACAAAATAAAAGTTCTATGTTCTGTGTACTAAATATATACATATATTTAGAAAAATATATAAAAATAGGACACTAGGGGGCAAGTGGAGGTGTGGCTGGCATTTAGTGGGCTGGATCTTAGAGAGATTCCACATCCTGATTTTAAAAGCACGGGTTCTGCTTCAGTGGCTACACCGACCTGACAGAATCAGCCACCTGTGAGTTCCCGCTCTCCCAAGTCCTCCATACTGTGAACATGACCGGAAACACTATGGTAAAGTCCTCTCATAGTAAATGCAACATTTTAAATATAATATATCACAGATTTTTACATTAAATAGAGGAAAAACAATTATACTCTCATTCACCAGTGTCTCACTTTCCGCGGCAGCTTTAAAATAGGCACAGATCCCCGGCTTTCCATTTCCACTTCTAAATGAGCAGAAGTTGATTGATAAACAATATACAACCCGCTACTTGCTGGATATACTGGGAGTGTAGAAATAAAGTGGAAAGGGAACAAGGGCTCCTCATGCTCGTCCAGGTGCTACTATCAAACGTTTGAGTCTTCGTCAGTAATGCTGGTGCTGGGGGACCGGGCAGCGAAATCTTTAAACATGTCATCTTCCTTTAGCATGTGCTGGGAAACAAAGAGACGGAGTCACACACACTGCGCTCTACGTGCAGACCCTTGGGGTGATTTTCAAACGTATTCTTAGAATAAGATTTTAAGCTTATTTCACAAACCTACCGTGAGGTTGTTGATGCCTTCAGAGAATGCACCTATCTGCCTCACTGTCCCTTCGGAATCCTCCATCTGCAAAGAGCACACCATAACGTGACAAACTCATCTGCACAATTGCAAGGAAAGTGCGGCAAAATGAACAAACATCTGAGAAGAAATAACGCAAGTTGTGTTGAATGGGAGAGGGGCAACGGAATACTTCTGATGATAATCACCTTGCACTGCTGTGATTAGATGTGGAAATTCAGAAGAAACACTTCATCGGCACTTCTAGACAAAATGCTCTGATGCTGACAATGGCACCACAGGATTACTGATTAAAGGGCAATTTTCAGTCCCATGACTTCATACTGAAAAGGCTAAGTAGTATGAGCTGTCCATTCCTGACTCGTTTTCATACTCAGATTTCCTTAATACAGAGCTAGGGTAATGTAGGTAAGGCACAGGGTTGGGAGCCAGCCTGGCACGTTGGAATCCCAGCTCTTCTATCTTAGGTAAGTTACTTAATCTCTCTGTGCCCCAGTGTCCTCATCTCTAAAATTAAAATGAGAATACTCCCTATGCTTTAGGATTACTGTGAACATTAATATATGTTAAGTGCTTAGGAAAGTGCCTAGGATATAGTAAGCAGTCTGCAAGTGTTCACCATCATTTTATTATTACCTTTATTTTTAAGCATTGGAAGAAAACTTCTTTGCTTAGTGGACACAATACGAAAAGTTTCCATTGAGTGTTTCAATGCTGGGAGAACTTGAAGATAATTAGGTAACGTTGCACTTACCTGCTCTAACCGGTCCAAATCATCCTCGTCATACAGGCGCATCTCCAGGCCAGCTTTAGGTCCTTTCTTAGACACACTTCCTGAGGCCTGTCCCAGTTCCATTGGACAAACATATTCTTCCCCGTCTTCCTGTTTCTTCTTTCTCAGATTCCCAAAATTGCTGAAGGTGAGCTTCCTTGGCTTTAAAACAAAGAAAACAGTAACCTCCAGGGATTTGATAAAATTCATATAAAAAATGACTAATAACATGTATAATTTCATTTCATCATACAGAGAAAAGCAACTGAATGATTAAATTTGTATAACAAAAACTAAGGCATCCTAGGCCTATGACTGATATATCCAAATATGATCAATGATCCCTTAAAAATCTCAGAAGATTACATTTGTTCTCCTTATTCACTCCAACTAGCTAGGTAGTCACAGTTATAAAAGCAAAATATGTAAAGAGCCTTAGTTTTGCCTCAACAGGACTTAATGCAAATGAGATTCTTCGGGGCTAAATACAATTTTACAAGGTTTTCCAGTCTAAGATCAGCAAAAGAAAATGGCCCTTACTGTATTTTCTTTTTGGGTGAGGCTATGATTATCTTGTATGCCTGTTATGCTTCTATAACAGGGTGGTGACTGCTAAAAGAATCCTTGCTCTTTGGGAGAAAAAAGTTCCAGTGAGACTTAGAAGAGAAACTACATCTTAGTCACTGGGTAGTCACGGAAACTGTTAAGTAGATGGTAATTGGCTGATGCAGAGAATTTGTATAGAACAGAATCTCTCAGAGTTTCAAATCTGGCACATCTTCTAAAGGAGAAAGGGAGGTGAAGAGAAAGTGTCCAGCAGGTAGAGGGGGTTAAAAAAAAAAGAACTTGAGCTCTAGCTGGTTTGGCTCAGTGGATAAAACATTGGCCTGCGGACTGAAGGGTTCCTAGCTCGATTCCTGTCAAGGGCACATGCCGGGGTTGCTGCTCGATGCGCAGTAGGGGGCGTGCAGGAGGCAGCCAATCAATGATTCTCTCTCATCACTGATGTTTCTCTTTCTCCCTCTTCCTTCCTCTCTGAAATCAATAAAAATATATTTTAAAAAAAGAACTTGATACGTATTTGTGAAGGAGTCAATAAACCCTACATCCACATTAAGCTGGTTAAGATAACATGCAGAAGAGTTAGATCAGGAATCATTTAAAAGAAGAAAAAGAAGTCTGAAATTCGTATGCTCTATGAATCCAGGCAAACTAGAAACATCCATTCTCTGCTGGCGTGCCTTTGTCTAACTTGCAAGGTTGGTCAATTACAGGCCAGACAAGCAGAATCTGTATGAGGAGAAAGGCAACTCGTACATTTGATTTATCCACAGCAAAAATAGGACAACTGCAATCAATATTTGGGTCCAAGTCATGGGCTCTCTGCCTTGGCAATGTATCCATTATAGAAACCAATGTCATGTTCTTTATTATTGTTCACCCTAATAAAATAAATGATTTTAGCAAAAATTCCCCCAGAAGAAAACCTTCAAAATTGTATTTTATTGATTATTGTTAAAGATGCACATGTCTTCAACCCATCCACAAAACTTAGTAAATCCCAGAAAATGGGATAGCCGGGTAACAGAAGTGAGCCTTTGTTCTCGTTTTTGGTATAACCAATTATCCAATGATGCGAGCTTGAACTAACCTTCACTTTGGCAGTGGCTGTTAAAAGTACATAATCTGGTAACTCCATGGCATCACGCTTCTGGTGTTGGGCCTCAACACCAATCAAAAGGTTGAAATGAGTGGCCAGATGTCTTCTCAACAGGGTCTTACTCGGCGGGATGTTCAGCAGCTGAGCCATTGTCTCTACATTAAAACGGGGTTCTAGAACCTGTAAGAAAAATAAAGGTGTGTAAGGTACGGCATATCACACATGTCTGCACTGTGCTTTATAATTTGCAAAGCTCTTTTCATTTAGTTTTCTCCAATGACCTACTCAGTGAGATACACTGCGTATAAACTTTAATCTTTAATTTCTTTTCTTTTCTTTATTCTGCCCAAGTTAGTGAGAAGAGAGCTGGTCCTGACATCCAGGCTTCTACCTCTCTGCGGTATGGCATTTGGGATGTCTTTGAATACAGGCGTTTGTTTCTTTTTTAAAAAAAACTGATTTGAGAGAGAGAGATGAAGAGAGAGAAATATTGACTTGTTGTTCTACTTATTTATGCATTCATTGGTTGATTCTTGTATGTGCCCTGACCAGGAATCGAACCCGCAACCTTGGCGTATTGGGACGATGCTCTAACCAACTGAGCCTTCCAGCCAGAGCAACATTTGGGATGCGTTTGGCAGCCAACTTCTTTGCAATATCTGCATGCAGAAATACAATCTGTATCTTTGCAGAGGTTTTAAAACATGAGGGCCAGCAGCCAGATGTTATCCAACAGAAAAGAGGACAATGGAAGAGAGGGGTTTAAATCTGATCTGGAGTAAAAAATAAGGGGGAAAAACACGCTGAAAGTAAAAATCCACTAGAAATAGTGCAGTAGGGTTGGGTTAACCATCTTTAGGGTTACAATAAGTAAACTGATACGCTCCCACTCATTAGATTAAAGGAGACAAAATGATAAGAAGTCAATTTCAAATTAAAACAGTTTTTTACCATGAGTCCACCATGGACACCACTGCCTCTGAGATTGGGGGCATATTCTGCCAAGTCCGCGGAACGCAGCCACTCCATCACCCGGTGGTTGGTCCACTGCTGCACCTCTGATGGGGTGATGCTATTCTATGGGAACAGAGGACACCAAGAGCTTCAGTCACTGACGATGGGATTCCTAATATCCCACTTACATAATCCATCCAAAAGTCTGCCCCACAGAACCTCCCACTAAATGTTCACAGAAAGGGTAAAAAAGTGATTGCTAATCTGAATTCTCTTTGAAAGAAAATTGGCACAAAGTTTCAAGCTTTTTTTTACACACCATTAGAGCAGGGCTTTAGGAAAGGAAGTCTTTATAGTGATACTTAAGCCTCTGGTTTAAGGAGGCAGGAGAATAAAATGCACTCAAGAAAAGGAGGAAGGGAAACTAAATCACAACCCTTGGCTTCCATGGCACAGGTAGGACCGTCATGGGAGGGAGGGAAGGAATACAGGAAAACAAAGCCAAAAACGTAAATGAGGCTGGACATGAGGCTCTGAAGGAACCAGCAGCCCTCCCCGCAGTTTCCAAGAAGGAATGGGTTTCAGTTTTGCACACGTGGACAGTCGTATGCATGGACGGCACGTGCTGAGTAACCCTCAATTCAGATGCTACCTCATCAGACGGCCGCCTCCGTAGACAGTTGGGTTCAAAGTTGTTGATCCTCAGGACCTGGATGGCCCTTTTGATGCTGAGATGGTGCAGCACACTCACGACCTTCAAAGACAGCAAGTCATCCTGCAGAAAAGAACAAAATGCGTGGCTCCTTGAGCAGGACGACCTCCTCAAGGAAGTCTCAGAAAATGCACATAAAAGTGGAAGAGCCCCTCTCCTAATCGACCCCGAGGGCTTGTCATTGTGTTCAAAGCCTTTATTTAATAGCAAGACCCTGTTCCTTGTTCCAATCAAAATCTTCTCCAGGACCCCGATATATCAGAAAACCAGAATTAATGTTGTTCTGACAGACACTGACTTCCATCTATTTCTCTCCCAAACATTCTGGGATAGGCTTGTGGGACCCCTTCGCTCGCTGGGTCATGACAAACAGTGACCTGCTTTGATAAAGCAGATAGCTAAGAGCAAGTGATGTTCGTTGACTATCGAGGTTTGCTTTTCTGAGCTAACACACATCAGTTTTGGGAAAAACCAGAAGAGTGGGCACACACTATCCTCCCAACTTCAAGAAATCTCTAGCTCTAGATCTGTATGTGTTATCCAGCAGACACTATGGAAATTTTTAGAAAATCTATGTCAGGCAAAGCAAAGGTCTTGTTCAGAGTTGAGTGTAAAGAAATTAAGAAGCTATATGTAAGTATCTACACATATCACCAATCATTTCCTTCAAGGAATAACTCTGGCCAGTCTGTGGTTACTGGGCACATTTCAAACATACCAAACACACCAAAACAAATTATTTTAGAAGAAGGTGATTTGGGTGGCAGTGTCAACATAAGCACAGGTCTACATCCAAACACACCCAGAAAATAAAGAAAACATCCATGTTAGACACATCTTACTGATAACATTCCTTATGAGGAAAGAAAAATCAATCTATTATAAAAATATTTTCTAAATATTAGGCAATCAGTTTAAATCCTTAAAGGCTACTAACTGATCAAAAATTCTTTCCTAAATTTTTCTGGATTAACTTCTTAAAGGTAGTGCCTTGTAAATTAGAAAGGACATTTGACAATCTAAGATTGAAACACCCATTTAAAACATTTGCATGTGGGCTGTTTTCAACTTAAAATCTATCAGATTTAAAAAAAAAATGCTTAATGTTCATAACATAAATAAAATTTTACTAGCTTAAGAAATTTTAAAAGTAGGGACCATTTCCTTTTTTAATCAAAACACTTTTTTGGATTTTTAAAAAATCTTTTATTTTTATGTACTATTAGATTTATAGAAGAGTTGCCAATAATAGTACAGAGAGTTCCATATACCCTTCACCCAGCTTCCCTTAGTGTTAACATATAACTATAACATATCCACTAAAACTAAGAAATTAACATAGACAATAATAAAATTAAACAAACTACAGACTTCATTCAGATTTCAACAGTTTTTTCATGAAGGTCCTTTTTCTGTCCCAGGATCCAACCCAGGATACCACATTAAAAACAGGTATTTTATGACTTAGAACTTACAGGATCAAATTGTCTAAGGTCATTTATTCATTTACTAGAGGCCCAATGCATGAAATTCATGCAAGAGTAGGCTTTCCTTCCCCGGCTGAGGGCACCTGGGCTTCCCTTCAGCCACCAGCACCTGGGATCTGGGCATCCCTCACAGAGGGAGGTCCTGCCCACTTGCCACAGCCTGCTGGTTGGTGGCCTGGGCCTCCCTCTGTGGGGAGACCATGGGGTGATGGCCAGGTCCCCGACCAATCGCATCGCACCCGCCTTGGCTGGCCTGGTGCCAGCGGGTGTTGTAGTGTGGTCATGGATGGTCCTCTGGATGGTCATTCTGCTGTTTGACTGTTTGGTCGATTTGCATATTACACTTGTATTATATAGGGTAGCTATAAGAGTTATAGATATACTTTTTATAAAGATTTTGAGCCTGAATTTGCTCACATTCCTAGGGGAGCATACTTAGACCTAGCTAGGCAGGCCAATATTTACTGAATTTGCTCCAGGTGGAGCTGTGAACTATCAAGAGCAGGGGTCTGGAAACTGCGTAGGTTCAAATGCCATATGATGTTTCTCCTACTCTGTAACTGTGGAAGCTCGGTCAAGTTACCTGATTTCTGGGTTCTTTCGCTTCTTCATCTAAAAACCGAGGATAATAAGAATGCTAGCTCAAGGACTGCCGAGACTTCATATTGATCCCAGTAAAGTGCCTGGCACACAGCAAATGTGCAACATACCACCTGTTAGTGCAGCCAGATGTGTCCACCAAGATACAGACTTGGTTCAATGATAGAGAAGAAAGCAAATCCCATGAGCTGATCTCTAAGTTTCTTAATATTGGATAATTCTCATTTAAGTTAGCTGTTTGAAACCTTCAACTTATTTAAAGGAGATACTTATGGTAGTTGAATCCATAGCCCAGCTCACAATAAAATAAAATAAAATAAAATAAAATAA